AAATTTCCTATAATTCATTTCCTAAATTCTTCTAAATATGGAGTATTAACAAAAAATTAAACACAAATATAAATTGAACTGTAAATACACTTCACATTACAATAGAACCATGAGAAGGGGAACACAAACAGTGAATCCTAACACTGACTGCAGACTTCGCTTGGTAATGATGGGCCAGTGTAAGTCATTGTCTACACTAAGTGTACTACTTTAGAGGAGGGCACTGCCTGTGGAGGGAGGCAACTCATGTGTGAGAGGCACACAGTCTACTGGAAATCTCTGGATTTTCCTTTCAATTTTGCCGTGAACTTAATCCTGATGTTTATAAATGTTCATAGTGCAAAGGGTACAGTTCAGTGGAGGGGCACTTGCCTTGCATGAGTGGAGTGCCAGGTCTACCAATCCCTGGAAAAGAGAACACATAAAAAATAAAAGAGAAGAAACACAGCTGTTAATTAAAGATAGTTACTGAACCCACTACTGCAGAAGATACAGAAACTCAGTATACCCCTGGAGATAATTACAAGATCAAAGTAGCACAGACTAGATATCATCTCCTAAACTGAAGAATAGGAAAATATGGAGAACAACGTAAGTTAAAATCTTGGGGGGGGAAATAATGTATAAGTGACTTAACATTTTATTTTTAGTCACAAAAACTCTTCTCAGTGATACAATCATACAGTAATATGGTTTTTACTAAGTCTAATGCATTTATTAACATATTAAACCTTCACTATATGTTATTACACAGACACTAAACATAGTGATTTAAAACTCTTTTCATGTATAGGATTTCAGAAGTAAAAATTAATAAATGGAGTGTTTTGGAATAAAATTTTCCTACAGTTAATTTCTTAAATACTTCTGAATTCTGCGGTATTAAGAAAAAAACAAGAACAAATATAAATGCAGCAGTAAATATACTACACATTTGAGTAGACCCATCAGATGGAGAACGCCAACAGTTTGCCCTAATGTTAACTGCCAACATTAGATGATAACGATGGACCACTGTAAGTCATCATCTGTAACAAGGGTACTCCTCTAGGGGCGGGCACTGGCCATGGAGGGAAGCAAAACACTTTGTGTGAGAGGGACATGATCAATCAAAGCCCTCTGGATCCTCCTTTCAACTTTGCTGTGAACCTAAGCCAGACATAAAAAACAAAGTTCTTAGTGAAAAGGGTGCAGCTCTGTGGTAGAGCACTTGCCTGACTTGAGTGGAGTCTCGGGTTGAGTGGCAACCACTGCAAAAAGGAAGACAATGAAACAGAAAAAAAAAGAGAATAAACAAAGAAACAAAGAAAAAGGTATTATTTAAAGAAAGTTAATGAATCTACTAATACCATGATACAGAAATTTAGTATACAATTGGAGATAATTCAAAAACACAGTAACAGTGTGTAGATATCACCTCCTAAACCAGAGTAGGACATTATACAGAACAATACAAATTACATACTTTAGTGGGAAGATAATAATTGTTAAGTGACTTCAAATTTTATTTTTAGTCACAAAAATCACTTTTCAGTAATACAACCATGTAGTAATATTCTTTTACTAAGTCTAACACATTTACTTAAAAAATTAAAAGTTTACTCTAATGTTAGTACACACAAAGTAACCATACTAATTTAAAACTATTTTTCATGTATAGGATTTCAGAAGTAGAAATTAAAGAAGTGTAACATTTGGATTAAAAATTTCCTATAATCATCTCCTAAATTCTTCTGAATATGGAGTATTAACAAACAATTAAGAACAAACATAAATGCAACAGTAAATACCCTACACATTTGTTAGACCCATCAGATGGAGAACACTAACAGTGAACCCTAACATTAACCGCAGATTCAGATTTTAAGGATAAGGGTAGACTCGTGGTAAGTCATCATCTATCACAAGTGTACTACTCTAGGGGAGAGCACTGGCCATGGAAGGAGGCAACTTATGTGTGAGAGGCACATGATCAACTGCAAATCTCTGGAGCTTCCTTTCAATTTTGCAGTGAACTTAAACCTGATATAAAAAAGCAAACTTCGTAGTGTAAAGGATACACCTCAGTGATAGCGCACTTGCCTGGCCTGAATGGAGCCACAAGAATAGGTTGAGGCTCTGCAAAAGGGAAGACAAAAGAAAACAACACAGGAAAAAGCTGTTAATTAAATGTAGTTACCGAAACTACTACTACCATGTTACAGAAACTCAGTATATACCTGGAGATAATTACAAGATCAAAGTAGCACAGAATAGGTATCATCTCCTAAACCAAAGAATAGGAAAATATATAGAACAATATAAGTCACATACCTAGGCAAGAAAATAATTGATAGGTGACTTAACATTTTATTTTTATTCACAACAATCACTTCTTAGTGATACAATCATGTAGTAAAATGGTTTTACTAGGTCTAATGCATTTATTAAAATATTAAAACTTCACTATAATGTTAGTGCACAGATACTAGACCTACTGATTTAAAATACTTTATCATGTACAAGATTACAAAATTGAAAATTAAATAAAAGGAATATTTTAAATCATAATTTCCTATACTTCATGTCTTAAATACTTATGAATTCTGGAATTTAACACAAAATTAAGAACAAATATAAATGCAACAGCAAATACACTACACATTTGAATAGACCCATCAGATGGAGAACACTAACAGTGAAACTAATATTAACTGCAGATTTGGATTATAATAATGGACCGGTTTAAGTCACTCTCCATAGCAAGTGTTCTAGTCTAAGGGAGGGCACTGGCCATAGAGGGAGGCAACTTATGTGTGAGAGGTACATGATCAACTGCAAATCTCTGGATCTTCCTTTCAATTTTGCTGTGAACTTAAGCCTGAAATTTAAAAAAACAGTTTATAGTGCAAAGGGTACAACTCCATGGTACAGCACTTGCCGGATACGAATGGAATCTCAGGTTTTTTGGCAACCACTGCAAAAAAGAAAAGAATGGAACCGAAAAGAAAACAGAAGAGAAGAAACAAAGAAGAAAAGCTATTAATTAAAGACAGGTACTGAAACTATTACCATGTTATAGAAACTCAATGTACAATAGGAGGTAATTCCAAGATCAAAGTAGCACACTATTACTATCATCTCCTAAACCAAAGAGTGGAATATTATACAAAGCCATATAAATTAAATACTTAAGTGGGAAAATAATTCATAAGAGGGGCAACATTTTAAGTCAAACACATTTGTTTAAAATGTTAAAAGTTTAATCTTAATTCACACAAAGTAGCCATAGTGATTTAAAACATTTTCATGTACAGGAATTCAAGGAAAATTAAATGAATGAAGTATTTTAGGTTATAAATTTCCTATAATTCATTTCCTAAATTCTTCTAAATATGGAGTATTAACAAAAAATTAAACACAAATATAAATTGAACTGTAAATACACTTCACATTACAATAGAACCATGAGAAGGGGAACACAAACAGTGAATCCTAACACTGACTGCAGACTTCACTTGGTAATGATGGGCCAGTGTAAGTCATTGTCTACACTAAGTGTACTACTTTAGAGGAGGGCACTGCCTGTGGAGGGAGGCAACTCATGTGTGAGAGGCACACAGTCTACTGGAAATCTCTGGATTTTCCTTTCAATTTTGCCGTGAACTTAATCCTGATGTTTATAAATGTTCATAGTGCAAAGGGTACAGTTCAGTGGAGGGGCACTTGCCTTGCATGAGTGGAGTGCCAGGTCTACCAATCCCTGGAAAAGAGAACACATAAAAAATAAAAGAGAAGAAACACAGCTGTTAATTAAAGATAGTTACTGAACCCACTACTGCAGAAGATACAGAAACTCAGTATACCCCTGGAGATAATTACAAGATCAAAGTAGCACAGACTAGATATCATCTCCTAAACTGAAGAATAGGAAAATATGGAGAACAACGTAAGTTAAAATCTTGGGGGGGGAAATAATGTATAAGTGACTTAACATTTTATTTTTAGTCACAAAAACTCTTCTCAGTGATACAATCATACAGTAATATGGTTTTTACTAAGTCTAATGCATTTATTAACATATTAAACCTTCACTATATGTTATTACACAGACACTAAACATAGTGATTTAAAACTCTTTTCATGTATAGGATTTCAGAAGTAAAAATTAATAAATGGAGTGTTTTGGAATAAAATTTTCCTACAGTTAATTTCTTAAATACTTCTGAATTCTGCGGTATTAAGAAAAAAACAAGAACAAATATAAATGCAGCAGTAAATATACTACACATTTGAGTAGACCCATCAGATGGAGAACGCCAACAGTTTGCCCTAATGTTAACTGCCAACATTAGATGATAACGATGGACCACTGTAAGTCATCATCTGTAACAAGGGTACTCCTCTAGGGGCGGGCACTGGCCATGGAGGGAAGCAAAACACTTTGTGTGAGAGGGACATGATCAATCAAAGCCCTCTGGATCCTCCTTTCAACTTTGCTGTGAACCTAAGCCAGACATAAAAAACAAAGTTCTTAGTGAAAAGGGTGCAGCTCTGTGGTAGAGCACTTGCCTGACTTGAGTGGAGTCTCGGGTTGAGTGGCAACCACTGCAAAAAGGAAGACAATGAAACAGAAAAAAAAAGAGAATAAACAAAGAAACAAAGAAAAAGGTATTATTTAAAGAAAGTTAATGAATCTACTAATACCATGATACAGAAATTTAGTATACAATTGGAGATAATTCAAAAACACAGTAACAGTGTGTAGATATCACCTCCTAAACCAGAGTAGGACATTATACAGAACAATACAAATTACATACTTTAGTGGGAAGATAATAATTGTTAAGTGACTTAAAATTTTATTTTTAGTCACAAAAATCATTTTTCAGTAATACAACCATGTAGTAATATTCTTTTACTAAGTCTAACACATTTACTTAAAAAATTAAAAGTTTACTCTAATGTTAGTACACACAAAGTAACCATACTAATTTAAAACTATTTTTCATGTATAGGATTTCAGAAGTAGAAATTAAAGAAGTGTAACATTTGGATTAAAAATTTCCTATAATCATCTCCTAAATTCTTCTGAATATGGAGTATTAACAAACAATTAAGAACAAACATAAATGCAACAGTAAATACCCTACACATTTGTTAGACCCATCAGATGGAGAACACTAACAGTGAACCCTAACATTAACCGCAGATTCAGATTTTAAGGATAAGGGTAGACTCATGGTAAGTCATCATCTATCACAAGTGTACTACTCTAGGGGAGAGCACTGGCCATGGAAGGAGGCAACTTATGTGTGAGAGGCACATGATCAACTGCAAATCTCTGGAGCTTCCTTTCAATTTTGCAGTGAACTTAAACCTGATATAAAAAAGCAAACTTCGTAGTGTAAAGGATACACCTCAGTGATAGCGCACTTGCCTGGCCTGAATGGAGCCACAAGAATAGGTTGAGGCTCTGCAAAAGGGAAGACAAAAGAAAACAACACAGGAAAAAGCTGTTAATTAAATGTAGTTACCGAAACTACTACTACCATGTTACAGAAACTCAGTATATACCTGGAGATAATTACAAGATCAAAGTAGCACAGAATAGGTATCATCTCCTAATCCAAAGAATAGGAAAATATATAGAACAATATAAGTCACATACCTAGGCAAGAAAATAATTGATAGGTGACTTAACATTTTATTTTTATTCACAACAATCACTTCTTAGTGATACAATCATGTAGTAAAATGGTTTTACTAGGTCTAATGCATTTATTAAAATATTAAAACTTCACTATAATGTTAGTGCACAGATACTAGACCTACTGATTTAAAATACTTTATCATGTACAAGATTACAAAATTGAAAATTAAATAAAAGGAATATTTTAAATCATAATTTCCTATACTTCATGTCTTAAATACTTATGAATTCTGGAATTTAACACAAAATTAAGAACAAATATAAATGCAACAGCAAATACACTACACATTTGAATAGACCCATCAGATGGAGAACACTAACAGTGAAACTAATATTAACTGCAGATTTGGATTATAATAATGGACCGGTTTAAGTCACTCTCCATAACAAGTGTTCTAGTCTAAGGGAGGGCACTGGCCATAGAGGGAGGCAACTTATGTGTGAGAGGTACATGATCAACTGCAAATCTCTGGATCTTCCTTTCAATTTTGCTGTGAACTTAAGCCTGAAATTTAAAAAAACAGTTTATAGTGCAAAGGGTACAACTCCATGGTACAGCACTTGCCGGATACGAATGGAATCTCAGGTTTTTTGGCAACCACTGCAAAAAAGAAAAGAATGGAACCGAAAAGAAAACAGAAGAGAAGAAACAAAGAAGAAAAGCTATTAATTAAAGACAGGTACTGAAACTATTACCATGTTATAGAAACTCAATGTACAATAGGAGATAATTCCAAGATCAAAGTAGCACACTATTAGTATCAGAAAATATCCAGTATCCAGAAAATATCCAGGAATATTATACAAAGCCATATAAATTAAATACTTAAGTGGGAAAATAATTCATAAGAGTGACAACATTTTAATTTTAGTCACAAAAATCACTTTTCAGTAATACACTCTTGTAGTAATATTCTTTTACTAAGTCCAACATGTTTATTTAAAATATTAAAAGTTTAATCTTAATTCATACAAGGTAGCCATAGTGATTTAAAACTTTTTCATGTATACAAATTCAAGGAAAATTAAATGAATGAAGTATTTTAGGTTATAAATTTCTTGTAATTCACTTTCTAAATTCTTCTAAATATGGAGTATTAACAAAAATTAAACACAAATATAAATTGAACTGTAAATACACTTCACATTACAATAGACCCATGAGATGGGGAACTCTAACAGTGAATCCTAACACTGACTGCCGACTTTGCTTGGTAATAATGGGCCAGTGTAAAATCATTGTCTACACCAACTGTACTACTTTAGAGGAGGCCACTGGCTGTGGATGGAGGCAACTCATGTGCAAGAGGCATGTGATCAACCAAAAATCTCTGGATCTTGCTCTCAACTTTGCTGCAAAATTAATCCTGATTTTAAAAAAGTCTTAGTGCAAAGGGTACAGCTCACTGATAGAGCACTTACCTGGCATGGATGGAGCCTCCATTTTAATTGCAACCTCTGCAAAAAAAGAAGACAAAAGGAAAGAAAAGCATACAGGAGAAAAGAAAGAAACAAAGGGTAAAAGCTATTAAATGAAAATAGTTACTAAATCTACTAGTATCATGTTACAGAAACTCAGTATACAAATTCACATAATTTCAAGATCAAAGCACCACAGTATAGGTATAATCTCTTAAGTGAAGAACAGGAAAATATCCAGAAAAATATAAACTGCACATCTAAGTGAAAATAATTGAGAAAAGTGACTTAATGTAATAGTTCTAGTCAAAAACTCACTTTTTAGTGATATAACCATATTATAATATTCTTTCACTAAGTCTAACAAATTTACTTAAATTAAAACTTTAGTGTTAGTGTGTATAAATTAGCCATACTGATTTAGAACTCTTTTTCATGTATGGGATTTCTGAAGTAAAAATTAAATAAATGGAGTATTTTAGATTCTAAATTTCCTATACTTAATTTCTTAAATACTTCTGAATTCTGCAGTGTTAAGAAAAAATAAAGAATAAACATAGATGCAACAGTAAATATGCTACACATTTTAAAACAGCCATCTGATACAGAACACTAAAAGTGACACTTCGGATGGTAACGATGGACCCCTGTAAATCATAGTCTATAACAAGCATTCTAATGTAGTGGAGGCCTCTGGCCCCTGAGGAAAGCAACCCATGTGTGAGAGGCACATAATAAACCAGAAATTTTTGGATATCCTCTTAATTTTGCTGTGAACTAAAACCTGATATAAAAAACAAACTTCTTGGAGCAAAAGATACACCTGAGTGGAGGGGTACTTGCCTGGTGTTAAAGAAGTCTCAGATTCACTTGCAACCACTACAAATAAGAGAACAGAAGAGATAAAGAAAAGAAACAAAGAGAAAACACTATTAATTGAACATAGTTACTGAATCTACCATTACCATGTTACAGAAACTCGGTATACAATTGGAGATAATTCCAAGATCAAAGTAGCAGTGATAGATATTATCTCCTGAACTGAGGAGTAACAAATTATACAGATCCATATAAATGACATACTTAGGATGGAAAATAACTGATAAAAGTGACTTAGCATGCTATTTTTTAGTCACAAAAATCACTTTTCAGTAATAAAATCATGGAGTAATATTCCTTTACTAAGTCTAATCCATTACTTAAAAATTAAAAGTTTACTCTAATGTTAGTGCACAGAAAGTAGCCACACTGGTTTAAAATTCTTTTTTGTGTTTAGAATTTTAGAAGTAAAAATTAAATAAATGGAATGTTTTAGATTAGGTCTTTCTTGTAATTCATTTCTTAAATAATTCTGAGTTCTGAATTATTAAAAAAATTAAGGAAATATAAATTTAATTGACACAGTGAATGTTTTAACTCCTCTGTGTTCAAAATTTTTTCTTACTCTTTTCCTTTTTTGTTGTTTTTGTCTTTTGTTTTTTGTTCTTTGAGACAGGGTCTCACTATGTAGTGCAGGATTACCTTCAACACAAGAAGGTACTCCTGCCTCAGCCTCGCCAGTGCTGGGGTTACAGGTTTGTGCCTTCACACTCATCCTTTTGTCTTTGAAAATCAAGACAGGGCCACCAAGTGTAATTCACTATGAGAAGTCTTACCTGCAGGGCTATTGTCAGAATTTGAAGATTCCTTTTTTTCACATTGAGAATTTTTTCTATGCAAAAAAAGTGATTTAAAATTGATATAAAACATATTAAATTACTAAGCGTATTTCAGACAATGTTAGATCTAATATGAAAACTTTACTCCAATACTTCAAATCTGTCGTGTCTACAAAACTTTATTACACCTGTAATTAAGGAAGAAAAAACAGTAAGTAAAGTGAGGCAGGCATCAATCAAGAAAGGCAAGACAGCTCCAAGCATTAGCTGGATTAGCACAATTTAAGAGAAACTGTCTTGAAATCACAAGCTCCGGCTTGAAAACCAACAGCTGTTTCTTTTTGCATAAGTCATTTCCCTTAGACTCAAAGTCTTATAAACTGTAAGGACTTGGCTAATTTAGTTTACCAGAATCCCATGAAGGTTTGATGAGGTAACATAGAAACCTGCTCTCAGAAATAATAAAGTAAGGGGTGAGTAGTTCCTAAATGCTCACCTAATTTGGAATTCCAACTACAACCCAACGTGTGTATTTTCAGATTGTAGTATTCAAGTGCTGTAGTTACCAGAAAATAATGGGTCTTAATTTGGACTATGAGCTCTTCTCTTCTCTGTGGCTTATAATTCATGGTATATCAACTTTTAAATAATTTATAACTAAGTCTATTTATAAATATCTCATTAAATTGGACAACATATTTGTCCTCTACTACTGAACTAGTTATGCCAATGGCAGAAAAGTAACAGATATCAGGACCTGGAATAAAACTTCAAGCAGAACACATAACTGTATCAGACAAACACGACCAGACAGGGAAAATCAAATAAGAATTAATACAATTGTGATGGAGCTGTTTAATTCCCCATTGTCACAAAGACATAAACCAAGTAGACAAAAATCAGCAAACAAATATCAGAACTGAATAAAACCTGTGAACAAGTGGACTTGGTAAGTGTTTACAACATTCCACCGAACAACATTAGGATATATGTTCTTCTCAGCTGCAAATGGGACATTCTCTAGACCATATACTGGCCCACAGAATATGCTTAAGTAAGTACTAAGGAACTGAACTTATCCCAGGCATATTTCCTGATGACATCCCAGTGAAACTGGAAATTAACACCAAAAGAAACCGCAAAAATTCCATAAACACATGGAAATAAATAACATACTCCTGAACAACCAATGGGTCACAGATGAAATTTAAAAAGAAATTAAACAATGTCTACAATTAAATGAAAATGCAGATACAACTTCCTGAAACCTTTGGAATGCAATGAAAGTAGTCCTATGGGAAATTTGTAATAGTGAAGTCTCACATCAGAAAAACAGAAGGAGCAACAACTTAATGTTGCATCTCAAGTTTCTAGGTAAAGAGGAGAAAGGGAAGACTAAAACCCATATAAAGGAGGAAGTTATAAAGATCAGTGTATAAGATAGACAGTGATATTACTGAGTTTTGTTGGATCATTGAACAGAACTGTTTGGTCTCACTGTTTGAATGTCCAATACATAAGCTTTAATTTTGTAATTTGAACAAATATTTCTAAGATGACAATATGTAGTCCACTAACTAGTGATTTCCTACTGTTTATTTTTTTTCTGAAAAACGTGTACCCTTTTTCTGCTTTTTTTCTTTTTCCCCTTAAATAAAATTGAAAAAAAAAAGATCAGTGCAGAAATTAATGCAACTGACACTAAGAAGATAATACAGAGAACTAATGAAGTTAAAAGTTAGTTCTTTTAATGACCTGGAATGGACTAATATTCTTCCTCTACACAACAAAACTCTGAGTGTGATTCTAATAAAGATCTTCTGGTTCAATTTCTGTCTGTCTCCAACTGAAATGAAAGGCAAAACACTCTTATATGTGGGACATATTGTGTCATGCTGAGGCTTAGTTCTCTTTAAATGCAACTAATCTACTATGAATTCAGAGAGTGTCATTTAATGGCTTCTGTATGAGACAAAATCTGTAAATATTCTAGAGTCTTGGTTCCAAAACAAAAGTAAATTTTCAGTACTAAACAGTTTCAGAAGCCAATCAGAAGTTGTTGCCAATTCAAGGCTTATTTCAGGACCTTTCAGAACTTATTTAAAGGTGCTACTCTGTATAAAGAGACTTCTGGGTAAAGATCTGGTAACAAAGAAAAAAGGAACTTTGATCTCTTTCTTAAACATTACTTGAGCCCTCCAAGACTTTACAATGATCCCAACTCTTATTTTCTGGCAGAAGACTAATGAAGGTCTCAAAGCATGAGCCACGGTGAAGGTCTCCACCAACATGCAGGATCCATGTAGGATTCTGAAGGAGTAGGTATAGTCATTTTGCTTCCTATGCTTGGGGCAAATCTATGAGGTTCAGCCACCAAAGTAAAGTGCTGCTAGTTCAGGGATAGAAACTGAATATAAAAGCACAAATACTAAATCAGTAAGTAAAATAGGCTGCAATTAAGTGTGTATTTCCATGAAGGCTCAGAGATCTGAATCAGTAATGACAACCTAGGACCAAAGCTTAATCACCACTACACTGAGAGATATTTAATAGCAACACAAATCACGAAAGCACATTTGACTTGTGAAAGAGAACTGAATTCCTCAGTTTTAAGCAATCTCTTGGATTTTTGGAAAATTCATGGAGGAGGGTTTAGGAGCTCCCACAGGAAAGTAACAAGATTTTCTGCTAACTTAGACATGTCAGGACCCAAGTGGTTAATTAGAAAAATCAAAAATGTGACACTACTTGTACACCATGGAGAATTGTATTAGCAATTACATGGGATCGCTAAGGATAATGATCCTCAATTCCCAAGAGTCTGGGGTGTATCTCAGTGCTATGACACATGCCTCACATGTGTGAAGCTCTCAGTTAAATCCCTGCTTTTGTGCTTTATGAACCTATGTTAAACTTCTTTAGCTAGTGGAAGATCAAACGACCAGCAAAACCAGAGCACAAATAGCAAACCTCAGTCTGAGAGCCCCACTCCCAGACAAAGCCAATGCCCCTGTCCCAAAGCAGAGTTTGATGATAACCCAGGAATTCAGCATTGTATCCCCAGCTGACATAGATGCCTGCCTGGGACCCACACTGGGTAAGGAGATCCCAGACCTGAGCACACCATCCCCCAGTCCTGGATTCCCCACAGCACAGGGCCACAAAGGTGAAAACCAACAGATCCACCTGCACTAGGAAGAGAGTAATGCCCAGAAAGTTTCAGTCCAACACTGAACTGACAGTCTACCTCAGAGAACAGGCAAGATCCTTTGGAGACAGGATAGATAGGGTGAGAGCTAAATACAGATCTCCTGGGGTCAACTGGGAGGTATGGGTTTTAAACAGGAAGATCATGGAGGCAGCATTCTCTTGTGGGAGACCAGGTTTGATGGAAGTAACAGTTAGAGGGCCACTTCTAAAGAGGGCATACATAGTGCATGTATGCACTATGCCACTTATATCCATCAAAACTTAGTGGCATGAACTACTACAGTAAGTATAACTCACTTAAAAGATAGTCTTCCTTGTTTTGGTGAAGGGCTGATCATGAGTGGTTTCTAGGATTTGTGAGTATCCACTTGAAATTTGATTCCATTGTTGTTGTTGAATTTATTACAGCAGCCAATGTAACACATCAGTGGCCGGGAATTATAATAGATTTCTCAGCACAAAACTTAAAGGCAAGGACAGCATGGAAGTCAGTGTTTCAAGCTCTAAAGGGAAACAACTTCTAACCTTGACTAAAATTATCTCTCAAAATTGATGAATAAGATACTTCCATAATAAAGAAATTCCTGACCGTTCCGCGCCATGCCGGGAGTGCACGCAGCGTGGATTCCTGACCACTCCGCACTATGCTGGGAGTGTGGGAAAGGTGGGCGGCATGGACCCTGGTGAGTACTGGGGGCCCCGCGGCTGCTGGGGTTGACCAGAGAATGTCTTGGAACTGGGCAGTGCCCGCCACCACAAGGACATCAATATCACAGAGTCTGGTGGCAGCCATCTTACAGTTGGGCAGAACCTACAGCTCGGTGGCATCACTGAGTCCCCCTGTAGGGAGGGCTGGTGGAAGGCATCTTGAAATTGGGCAGAGCCTGAGTACGTGTTGGCTTCAGTGTCATACAGAGAACTAGTGGGAGACATCTTGAATTTGGGCAGTTCTGCTGTTCTGGTGCTCCTGTCACAGAGAGGTCTGGAAGAGAACAGCTGGGATTTGGGCAGGACCCTGTGCCATAGTGACATTAGTCAGCTGCTTCTGGTACAAAGAGAACCAGCAGGAGCTACTGGGGCTAAACCAAGCCTCTGCTTGGGGCTCAACAAGCAGATACAAAATAGTCACAACTCAGTGACATCCAGAAAGTACAGCCTAATTTATGGTGCAGAGGCTGGAGACTAGCCTGTACCACCCCTGCATCCCAGCCTACCCCAGATAACATCAAATTGGGGAGGACAGCAAAAACTCAAGTCAGCACGCTTCTGAAAGGCCCTAAGCAATTCGGAGAGGGCCATAGAACCCCAGGACATTCTGAAAGAAACCAGAAACATGACAAGAGATAAAAATTTAAAAAAATCTCCAGCTGCCCAACATGAGAAAATAAGCCCAGGAGAAGTAAACACCGAAGAGAACAAGCACAGTAACCATCCATTGCTCGACACAGCATCAGCCGAAATTAAAAAGTACCTTCATGATCTCATAGAAGAATTTAAAGTGTACTCCTGATTCAAGTGAGACAAGATATAAAGAGATTAATTAAAGAAATGACAAGCCCCGCCCAAGAGAACACAGATGGAAGAACTGAGGAAATCAGAAAAGAAAGAGAAACTTCTGAAGAAGAATTTAAACATAACTTAGAATGCATGAAACAGATTCAAAGAGAATAATACCAGGAAACTAAAAACTCCATTGAACACTGGCAAAATACCTTGACAGAAACTAAAGACAGCCTTCTGAAACTTGAAGAGAGATTTATGGCATATGATTGTGAAAGAAAAAGCCTCTTAAAAATAACAAGGAACCAGAAAGAAGCAATTCAAAAACTAGAAGATGACAAAA